AAAAGTAGCCGAATTTGTGTATTTATGACTGTTCTACAATGACCACACTAATGCTGTGGGAGAACTTTACAACTCTACAAAGCCTTGAAATAGATGAGAAACTATAAAAAGACCACAAGTCACACACGAACTAAATAATATTAAAGGGCATTTTAATAGGAAGTTTTATTTTTAAAATCACATTTGAAATCACTGGTAATACCACTGAATAACATGCTTTATCAAAGTAAACGGCATTTTGAAGTATCCAAACACTTAAATCCATTCTTATCTAAAAATACCTTCCATTTACATAGGACTTGACTGTGTTCAAGCTGCAACATTACATAGTTCATTTCATTTTATCCCCCACAACAGCCCTGTGAGGTAGGCTGAACAAGTTAGAAGTGTTACAAGTAAGGCAGCAAAGGCCCACAGGTGATGGATGATTTATACACAGGTGACAGAGCTAATATATGACACTGCTAAGGTGATTAGAAGAGACGATTCCAAGACTTTTTAATATCATCTAGAGAAAAATTTAAAGACCAGTGGCTCTTAATATAAATGACTTGAAACTTTAGGTATTATATATCTTATAGCATGAATTAACCACAAATTTGATTTTAAAGAATCTCTCTTAGAAGATGAACTTAGACTCTGCTTTGGTACCTTAGAGATATTGGAAATGTTAAAAAAAATTTTTTTGAAAAGGATTCTCCTCATAGTCCTGTGCTTTCCAGGATTAATGAAGCTGTTTTGCCAATCACATAACAATCTGACTTATTTTAAACCTAAGCTACTAACCAAAGCAAACACATTCTCCTACCATCTGCACTACATGCTGCAAAACCCTCAATGTGGTCCATTCCTAGGGACCAGCTTACTTGACTGGGTACCATGTTAAGAAAGCATACTAGCTTAAATTAAAATAGCTTAAATGATAATGATTTAAGTTAGCACTTTATGCCAAGAAATAACAAATATTCTTTAAGTTTAATAATTAGTCTGAAGATGAAAGTACCATGGCAATTTCTGGTATTTATTTACTAAGCCAACAATGACTTGTATATACTTGTCCAAAAATATCTTTCAATAAAAACAACACATACCAAATTCAATCCACATAAACTCCAAACTCACAATCTTTAAAATTATTTAGGTTAATCATACAGCTCAGGTAAGAAAGCTGTCATATTTGACATTAGAATCACAAATGACTGCAGAATGTAAATACTGTCAGATACAACCAAAATAAACCATACTGAACGTGAGGTAATATTGCTGTGATGATTACAGAAGTATTTATGGTTTCTTATAATACTTTAGTTCTGCTGGAATTATGACATTATCTTGGTTAAAAATAACTTGATGGGTACCTGGATATTTAGCAATCTTATGCTGATCATATGCTTCTCTGAAAGAATATAGTTAGTGCAAAAATAAAATCAAGAAAGAAGATTTTCAGACCTATTTTATGTGATTATAAAAAAGTAAACCATTATTCTATGCAGTTAATTTGAGTGTTTCTTACAAGCTATAATAAATATACCTTTAAAAATTTCTGACTGAAAACATTTTTTTAAAAATGCAGTTTCTATCATGACCTAAAAAAAGCAGCAGAATGAGCAGCAGAATGAGGTGTATAATAAACTGTTCTAGTTTTGGAAATGTGAATACAAATAATCTCAATCTTGACTGCCAAACCAAAAAACTATTTTTTATATGAATAGACAATAAACACACACCCATCTAACAAATATGCTGTAAAATGAATTTATGTTTTGAAAAGTTAGCCTAGAATCATACATTTTATAGTAGAAAGTCTACACTGTCTTACTATTAATATTCTTTGGAATATTCATTTTACGTATATATCCTTTTGCAACTTTTCCAATGATTTTTAAAGGAAATAATTAAAATACATAAATAATTTATGAGAAAATATGGAGAGAAACTAACATTTTAGGTAACTAATGAAATGGAATATATTAGCCTAATTAAAAGCTTTTATCACAAATATTTATACCACCAATGGCCAGCTCCAAAAATTCAAAAATATGCATGATATTGTTGATGCCCTGATTTCATAAGTTAATAAGTATGTTCAAGCCAATATTTCTTCTTATATGACAAGGGGAAATTACTATTTGCAAAACAGAGCAAGTAGGCCAAGTTTAGCTGTGTAATAGTAGTTCACTGTCAAAATAATTCAGATGCCATCAGTTAAACCCATATATAGACACACATGCCCTTAATACTTTTAATTCATTTACCTATGCCTGGAACATTCAACAAGACACTTTTTCTATGTGCATTAGTGATTAAATGCTTGATATACATCTACAGATCAAAAGTTAAAGATGCATGTGACATAGTCAGCCGAAAGGTTAAAATGAATTTTAAATTCTTGTTCTAAAGTGCTTAAGGCAGCTCCTTCATTTCTATATACAGTTTAATAAAACTGGTTTGGAATTCATTTGCTAAAAAAGAAATGTAATACTCAATGCATGTTTCATAAAACATAATTTTTATACCTGTGTTATATCCATTAGTCAACCTCTCATGCAGTTCCTTTATAGGAAGCAATCATGTTTGACCTCACTCCCCTCCCCACCAAAAAAGGTAAATAAAGCAATAAAGAAGGTTTAAAAAGATGTACTAACATTTTCACAATGCATTAAAGTTGAGCAAAGGAGCTCAATATTTTTTATGTCATATATTATGATCAAGTTAATGGCTACCTTATTTTGAAACTATTAAAAAATAGGCACTATATTTTATTATTTTTAGGTTAAAAATTAGGGTAACAAACTCTCTGATTAGTTTAACAAAATTTAAAAATCTTAAAACAAAAATACCATATGGTTGTTTAATTTTAGATACCTTTAGGAAGAAGCAGAGAGTAGAAAACCCTCAAATTCCTAGTCTGACATAATATTCATATCATGCAATACCTGGTATTACTTGTAAAGGAAATTTGGACTCTGGATTTATTGAATTTATTTATTTATTACCACAAAGCTTCTTCCTAGTGAAGTTAGTGTATTTTTCAAATTAATATTAGAAAACTTTTTTTTTTTTGGGTCCAGTCGTGGGGCCTGAACTCTGGGCCTGGGCGCTGTCCCTCAGTTCTTTAGCTCAAGGCTAGCGCTCTACCACTTGAGCCACACCACCACTTCCGGCTTTTTTCTTTTTTCTTATGTGGTGCTAAGGAATCGAACCAGGGCCTCAAGCATGCAAGGCAAGCGCTCTACCACTGAGCCACCTTCCCAGCAATATTAGAAAACTTTCTATGAAAACTTTGAAATGGTGGTAGGAGTACTAGAAAGAAATCATACACACTCCTCCAGCTCCTGATTAGTATTTCCTTTCTCCATACCCCTTCAACAGAAGGTCCTCACCACTGCCATGTCATGCTGTCTGGATTAACTGTCAGTTGATACCGGACATGGAGCAAGGAGCATGCTTAAGAGGAAAAGGCACTGGCTTAATGAGAAGACACAATTATGTGAGACATAACAGAATAAAGTTCTGTACAAGAACATCTGGCTTTTTTAGTGTCATGTAGCTACTTGCATAAAGCAATTCCACTAAATCACTGCTTTCAGGTTTGAGCCTATGAAAAGAAATTCATTCTTATCTCCTAAGGTCCTAGAATAGCCCTTCTAAAGGAAGCAGAACATCCAAATATTTCTTTCAAAACATGAGAAACAAAAACGAAATATTTGTTTGGATTACCAAAGACTGACTAGTGACATACTTATTTCTCTAAACTGTTTATAGTTTTTAAAATTACCAAGATGTTATCACACAATGCAGCAATTTTCTTCTAGAAATAAACAATACCCTAGGTCAAATCTGTTCTATCAGTAGCACAAAATGATCTATCAGTAAACAGGAAATGTTAAGAGGGAATACACTATTCCACAGGCCTTATGTAGAAAGCCACTCAAATGTAAGCAGCCAGTCACTTCTTGGGGGAAGGTGTCAGCAGATTTAAAAAACGAGAATGAAAGAAACTCAACAGGAGAAATTAAGTTTCAAAAATTAAGGAAATTCTTTTTTTGTGTGTGTAGGGGGTTGGATCGTGGGTCCTGAACTCTGGGCCTGGGCACCGACCCTCAGCTCTTCAGCTCAAGGCTAGTGCTCTACCACTCCAGCCACAGCGCCACTTCCGGCTTTTTTTTTTCCTGCTTATGTGGTGCTGAGGAATAGAACCCAGTGCCTCATGCATGCAAGGCAAGCGCTCTACCACTGAGCCACCTTCCCAGCCCATGAAATTCTTATAAAAATGCTCAAATAATTCTTAAAATACTGTAATTACAACTTTTAGTTTGGTTCAACTTGTAACTTGAATTACAATTATTACTGAAATGTTTGGCTTTTTAGGAATAGTTTTTTTAACTCATTGTTCAACATATTCCCCTCCAAGTCTGGGAAAGATGTCTATGGAATAAGTCTTGGATAAGTATATTATGCCTCTAGAAAGCAAATGAGTAACAAACAGAAAAAGTTAACCTCTGAATAGATTGAAAAACTTGAATAAGTCAGAGATATGTATTTTTCAAGTTTTTTAAACTTCATATTACAATGAATATATAAATTCTTCCAGTAAAGAACATTTTAGGCATCTCCTTTGATAACCTATCTTTCCTTAGATAAAAGTTGAGTATCTTTTATATAACTTTAACTTCTAAATAGGCACTCTTTAACTGCTAAAAATCAGTTACAATTATAATTAGTGCCCAATTTGAGTGTGAATTTTATCAACGATAATGGTTAAAGGTAGAATTAAATTAGATAACAAAATCAGAAAACAAAGGTTGTAAAATTTTTACCTAATCTAAGCAGAGCAAAATGTAAAATATATTCCTCTGCCATTATGTTAGTATAGAAGGCATAAAACCGAAATCTGGGTAATTTTAAGCTGTTTAAGTGTTCGCTTATTCCACTCTACTTTGAGTTATAAACACAAGAGAAATATCACAGTATATTAGAAAGGAAAATGATATGCAATCAATAAATAAGTTAATTTAGCAAACAACTTATTTATAAAAAAGTGGAAAATAAACCATAAGAAAACATTTTTGTCATCCCCAATGAATGATTTCCATTTTTATGAATTGTTGGGGGACTGTGTATTTTTAAAGCTTCAGTGTAAGAACTAAGTAACAGGATATGATAGAAACAAGAACAGGAAAGGAAAAAGGGCAAGCTTTAAAAGCATTGCAGCCCAGCTCCTAGGGTCACAATATATCATAAAACTCTACAGAAGAACCTAAGTAATCTAAGAACCATAAAAATGAATTTCCTAATAAATACTTAAAACACTGCCTTTTTCCCATTTACTATTCAAGACATTGGTCTTTGGGGGGGGGGGCTAACTGCTTGCGCCTCTATATATCATAGCAGAACACTGTGAATGCTTTGTTGTAGATGCTTAAGCTAAAAGATTCCAGGCCTTAAAGCAGGGCATAGTAAACCTGAATTCCATCACTCACAACTTCCTGTGGTTAGTTACTGCACAGGAAAGGCCACCCAATCAAAAGGGAGGGTAAACATAGTCTGAGTAGGCATTACTGTGTAGTAGCATTGTTCAGGCTGCTAGCTGAGCCAGTCATTCCATTTTCACTTTTCTGAAGTGTTCTCACAGCACTTGGAACCTGCATCCCAGTACTCAAAGAAAGTCCACCACACCAAACCTAAGAAAAGACAAAAATCAAAGTCCCAGTCAGATTTCAAATCAAATTGTAACCCCAGTGATTAAATTTCTGTTAAAAAGACAAAATTTCATATGTATGAATAACAAAACATCTCAAGCTAACAAGCTTCACTTTTGTACTGGGGGGAGGGACAGAACAATTCAGGATTACTTTAGAACTACCTGGGCCAAAGTAAGTCTTTGTGGTAGGAGAAGCAACTGAAGCTGCACCCAACAAAAGACAAGTCAGGACTGTTGAATTTTAAGTGGATTAATCTAGGCAGAAGATATTGCCCATCATTTCTGATACTAATCTGCACAACTGGCAATACACCTAATAATAGGAAAGATGTGTAAACACTTATAGATTGCTGCTAGTATGCAAAAAGAAACAGCCACTCTGGAAAATGTTTTTGTAGTTTATTATAAAGCCAAATGAACACTGTACTTTGGGAACACTATTACTCATATATTTTTTCAAGAGAAGTGAAACTTGTTCACAAGAAACTCATATGTGTATATTTATAACGTAATTATTAATATGACTATTCATAAATGCTCCAAACAAGAAAGGACCAAAATATCCTTCAACAGGTGAATGCATACATAAATTGTGGTATAAGATAGGTGTGGTGGCACACACACCTGCAATCCCAGCACTCTGGAGATGGATGCAGGAAAAATACATGTTCGAGGGCAGCCAGGGCTACATAGTACAACCCTGTCTTTAAAAGAAAAAAAAAACAAACAAGTAAGGTCTGGGGATGTAAGCCAATGTTAGAGAACTTGCACTGCCTGTATAAGGCCACAGTTTCTAACCAGAGTATTGCAAAGCACACTTAACACGAGAAAGCAAAAACAAAAAACAACAACCAAACTATGGTACATGCAAATAGGAAATACTACGCAGCAACAGAAAAAGGAATATTAACCAGGCACTGGTAATTCATGCCTATAATCCTAGCTACTCAGGAGACTTAAGAAGATTTTAGTTTGAAATCAGCCAAGGCAGGAAAGTCTATGAGACTCCATCTCCAATTGACCAGCAAAATGGCCAGACTGAAAGTATGGATCGAGTAGTGGGACATCAGCCATGAGCAAGAAAGCAGAGCAAAAGCTGAAAGCATGAGGTCCTGAGTTCAAGTCCTGGTACCAGCACCAGGAAAAAAATGCACACACAATAGTAGGGGTGAATTTAAATGCATTAATCTATACAATCTAAAGGCAAATGCTAAATAATTCTATTTATAGTATATTCTGAAACAAGCAAAACTTTAGGAATTAATTTTGTTTTTGGTTGGTCATGGGGCTTGAACTCTGACCTGGGCACTGTCTCTGAGCTGTTTAGCTTAAGGCTAGCGCTCTACCTCTAGAGCCATGACACCACTTCTGGTTTTCTGGTGGTTAATGGAGAGAAGAGTCTCACGGAATTTCCTGCTGGGGCTAGTTCTGAACCACAATACTCAGATCTCAACCCCGAGTAGCTAGCATTAGAGAAATGAGCCACCAGCACCTGGCTTCATCACTTACATTTTTAATGAACTAGAACTGTTTATTAGCATTGCTCTATGCTCGAGATTTTAGGTTTTCTAGATTGAAAATTTTTGTTGGTGAATTTTAAAAGAATATATGTGTTTTAAACATATGCACTTTTTCTTCATAGTGGGGAGTTATACTTAGCAATAATAATAGAAAACACACATACAAAACATTCCACCAAGTCTATATTTGAAATATAACATCCTAATTTGTAGAAGTACCAAATTATGGAAACTTCTACTCAGAATAATGTCCTTAACTAACTAGATCCTAGAATACCCCACAGCAGCCCAATGGTATAGAGAAATGCCAATAATCAAGGTACTTTGTTTTGATGCCAGCCATGGGACTTGAACTCAGGGCCTGGGCACTCTCCTTGAGCTTTTGTGCTCGAGGCTAAGTGCTCTACCACTTGAGCCCCACTTCTGGCTTTTCTGGTGCCTAATTGGAGGCAAGAATCTCATGAACTGCCTACCTTGGCTGGCTTCACACATGATCCTCAGATATAAGTCTCCTGAGAAGCTAGTATTACAGGTGAGAACCACTAGTGCCAGCTACAAATAACTTTTGTTCAAATGAATTACATAAAAATGTCTCATTTTGTGTGAAGAAACTAATTTTTTAATATAAATCAATCTTTGAGTCTGGAATGATACATGTGTAAATGCAACCTCCAAATGGATATCACCCACAAGCCCAACTATAGAATGGACAAATTACAATATAGCCATGTAAAGGGAAACTATTCACCTATGAAACTGAATGAACTAAAACCACTTAAAATGCAGACAAATTTCACAAAATGTTGATCCAAGCTCGAGAGGATAGTTTACATCTACAATCCCAGGTGCTTAGTAGGACAGTGGTTTAAGGTCAGTCCAAACAAAAAGCTCCTAAGACCTCACCTCAACCAATAACAGCTGGGCCTGGAGGTATGTGCCTGTAATCCCAGAAACACAGGAAGTATAATAGGAGAATTATGGTCCAATGTGGCTTGGACACAAACATGAGACCCTATAACTAAAGTAAAAAGATTTGGGGGCATGACTCAAGTGACAGAGCATCTAACAAACATAAGGCCCAGAGTTCAAGCCCCAGTAATGTTCTCCACCTTCACTCCACCCCTCCCCCCAAAATATTCGGAGCTAAAAACATATTGTCTGGTTCTATTTACACAAAGTTGAAGATGAGGAATTTTGTGAATTACAATTTGTAATAGTGGTTACTCTTAAAGAAAGTAGCCAGGAGAAAAGAAGTAGGCACAGAGACATTTAAGGTTCTATTAAGGTTCCATTTCTTGTTCTAGGTATTAGAAAAGAAAGTACAATCTAAGAAAATTCATGCTTTTATGACTTACGTACTTTTATGTATTAATACCTGCTTCAATAAAACATATTAAAAATACATAGAAAGCACAGACTTTGGAGATGGTGGTTTGGGGACAGGAAGATGAATACGACCAAAAAGTAATACACTCTGCCTTTCCAAATAATATAGCATCATTTATTCTCCTTAGTTATGAAACCAAATAAAATATAAATTAGATACTAACCATGAAACCAGGTAGTACTGGCTGAGTAAATTTTGTCTTAAAGGAATACAGCAACTGTTTTGAATTTGCATCATAAAAAGAAAGCTGACCTGAAAGAAAAGTAGCTAATTTATTATACAAAATTTATAACATCTAATTAAGCCCAACATATAATCCCACTAAGAATAAATTATATTTTGACATTTACTTTTTGCTGTAACCTATGAACAAAAGGACTTAATAATTGTTACTTGAAAATCAATAAACATGCTTAAAGAAAAGCCAAAGTCCAATTTTCTTCCCTATTTTTTCAAGATTTCCAGAAGAATTGCATAATCTGTCTATTTTACCTATTCATGTGTGAACTGTTTTTTGTTGTTGTTTTGTGGGGGTTTTGGGGGGGAGGTTGTGGGGCTTGAACTCTGGGCTTGGGGGCTGTCACTGAGCCCTTTAGCTCAAGGTGAACTCTCTACCACTTGAGCCAGAGTGCCACTTCCGGTTTTCTGATGGTCAATTGAAAATAAGAGTCTCACAGACTTTCCTGCCCAGGTTGGCTTTGAACCAAGATCTCAGATCTCAGCCTCCTAAGTAGCTAGGATTACAGGTGTGAGCCACCAGAACTTGGCCTGAACTGTTTAACTGTCCTTTAGCTAAAGGTTTCATCAGCCTAGTAAAAGTCAAAGTTTTCTCATCCTCCTCATTTCTGCTCTATCCAAATGCTTTCACCTTCTAAGGTTTATTTACTTCCATTAACTCGTGTTCTAACTACTTAAAACCACACTCACACACAGTACAGTCATCACTGCCAGCTTTTTAATTTCCAAAATCTACTCTGGTCTGTATTTTAACAATATCATTTCCTAAAACAATTGTCTGACCTTGTAAATGTCCAACCAATGGCATTCCTTGCAATTGCTGTTACTTCTTGACTGTTCTGATTTGAATCCTATCCCTGCAGAAACCTGTTCTTACCGCTTTGTCCAGAATTCTTTTTTTTCTCTCCACACTGCACTTATTAAAGCAACAACCAGCATAAAGAACCTAGCATTTATGCATACTATTAAAGTGCTGAGGACTTTGTATCTATTACTTTAAAAAATTAAGTAACCTATGTGTGATTACAAAGTAAATTGCAGAGCAGTAATGTTTAAATATCACTTCATGATGCTATCACAAATAGCTTCAGTTCTACTTCTAAGGTCAAACATTGAATTTTTCTTTATATTTTTTATTTTTTAATTTAATTTTATTGTAAAGGTGATGTCCAGAGGGGTTACAGTTACATATATAAGGTAGTAAGTACATTTCTTGTTAAACACTGTTTTATTTATTGTGAGGTCTAGTTACATAAGTAAGGTAATGAGTACATTTCTTGTAGAACATTGTTACCCCCTCCCTCATTTTTCTCCCACTCTCCCTCCTTCCCTCTCAGCTTCCCTTCAAAGGGCTTGCTAAGCATGTCAATGGTTGGTTATGCTGCTATCCACCTAGACTCTATCCTCCCTTTCATCCTCCGACACGGATAGGATCATCTCCAACTCTTGTTTATTATCCACAATCCATCTTTAGTCACTAAGTACTGTAAATTCTACTTTCACACGAACAGATCCATTCCTCTTGACTCTCCACTGCTCAGGTCCTTGCTACCAATCACCCCAAAAGCACTAGGCATTCCTATGTTAAAAACACTTATCAGGCAATATAGTTTCAGTAGTTAAAATAGAAATGGTCCTGCTCTATAAAGACTGCCTCCAAAAAAGGCTACACTATCTCCCCAACCCAAGTCACTTCTCTTTAAGCATGTACTCTAATACTTATTTTCCAGAACTCAAGCTTGAACTCTGGGCTTCATACTTTTGCTCAGCTTTCTTGCTAAAGGCTGAAATTCCAACTTGAGCCATGCCTCCAGTTCCAGCTTTTTGCTGTTTAACTGGAGATGAGGATTTCTTGGTTTTGTTTGCCCATGCTGACTTCAAACCTCAATTCTCAGATCAAAGTCTCCTAAGTGGCTAGGAATGTAGGTGCAAGCTATTAGTGCCTAGCTACTCTCCAGTATTTCTAATGCTGGATTCTCATAATATGGCTATGGTTTTCTAAAATGTACAGAGCTACCTTTCTACCACTGAAGGTGAGTGTACTAGTATGTTTCAAGGCACAAAAAAATCTCATCTCCTACAGATTAGCTTCTCCTACTATTTTCTTTTTGCTTTAGGCTACCAATCACTTCTCTCTATTCTCTTTGTGGAATCAGAGTATGGGAGAAGAAAGAAGAAAATTAGCAACTGCTCTCTTGGCAGTAAAAAAAGAGTATAAATTGGTCATTTATTTCAAGGAAAATAGTTTATCTAGATCCAAGTGGGTAAATAAAAAATGCACCAAAACTAATGTGTCACACTAGAAATAAATCAACTCTTTTCTTATCTTTTGTTTCAGTGACTAAGTTGATATTAAGTTGATACTTCCTAGAATTTGCTACTTAAAATGATAAATTTTTGGATTATTTACTTAAAGGGTCAATTTAGAAACATGTATGGAAATATTTTTGCTCCTTAGTTCATTATTATATGATCTTCATAATTGTTGATTAGTTCTCATTTCAGAGACAATATTTATTTATATTTTTTTGGTGGTCCGGTCATGGGGCCTGAACTCTGGGCTTGGGCGCTGTCCCTCAGCTCTTCAGCTCAAGGCGAGCGCTCTACCACTGAGCCACCTTCCCAGCCCTCAGAGACAATATTTATTAAATAATTCCAGAACCTTAAAGATCTTTTTTCAAAAGATAAATTATCAAGTTAATTTTTAGATGATTTGAACAGGACAAATTTAGTCAAATCTATTAAAAAAGTAACAAATTCTTTTCTTGAATCATAAATAGTAACTCAGGAAACTCTTAAACTTCCTGTTGAAAGAAAAGACAATCTGATGGAACTCTGCAAGAAGAGATCTAATAGATTAGGTGGCTACAAGAGCAATATAGGTAGAAGGTATTTAACAGTGTAGTAAAAACTACTACAAACATTGCTGCCAAGTCACTGTTCTTATGCCAGTCAGATAAGTTGTGTGTTCTACTCTAAGAACCAATCTTTATGGAATATGCTAGCCTAGTAAATGACCATAGATGATTTTAAGTGTTTAGAATAATTCAATTATAAAAGAAACAGCTAGTAACAAAATATGTATAGTCCATAACAACAGATCAAGACAAGTAATGTAAGTAGTTTTTAACAGGAAGTTTATCCTGTGAATGTAGATTAGAGACCATAATTTGTGTTTATTCAAATGGAAAAATTTAAGAGCAACATTGTTAAGTTATAGGGACATAAATGAGTCCATTTTAGAAAAGCTTCACCAAAAGCTGCCTAATAAGTAGGACACCTTTTAAGACAGTAAATTTCATATTAAAAAGTCTTTCCATGCTGCCCCCAGTACCTTATGCTTGTAATCCTGGCTACTCATGATAATGAGATTTGGAGAAATGCACTTTGAAGCCAGTGTGAGCAGCATGTCTGCAAGACTTCATCACTGCCCCCTCCATTGCCCCAAAACAGCAAAAAGCAGGGCTAGAGATATGGTTCTAGTAGTAGAGTGTCATAGCATGTGCCTGCTGAGTGTGACAACCAAGGCAGTGAATTCAAATTCTAGTATCTAGTACCACCTCCACCCCACTCCTCATATAAGTTCTTCCAATATATGAATGGAAATTATCTGCAAAGATAGCCTTTAACAGTTTTAGCCAGGTGCCAGTAATCCAGCTGTAATCCCAGCCACTCAAGAGGCTGAGATCTGAGGATTGCATTTTGGAGCTAGCCCAGACAGGAAAGTCTGGAGACTCTTACCTCCAGATGTAGAACTCTGACTCAAGTAGTAGAGTGCTAGTCTTGAGCAAAAAAGCTCAGGGACACTATCCAGGCCCATGATTTCAAACCCACTTTCCCCTCCCACAAAAAAGAATTTTAAATTTAACAAATAGACTGGGTAATTTCTGAGGTCTATTTCCACTTTAAAAATATGATTTTACCATTCTTTACAAATAGGTAATACAATATAATAAGAAAGGCATTAAAACAGAAGAAATTTTAGTGCCCACGTCTAAAATTAGCAAAATCTTCCAGACTTGTTGTATAATAATTGATTCCTTTTCCATGGCTTCAAGCAAATATCCTATTTTCTTCCATTCAATTATATAATTGAACCTACACCTGTGATCAAAACCTAGTTAGACTAGGTGTTCTTACACAAGACTAAAGGAAATTTTACATAAATTAACTATGAAAAGTACTGAAATATAAGCAACTGTGATGAAATGATTAGTGAGAAAATAAGTAAACTTACCCCCATCAAAATCACAAAACACACCTATTTTCTCAGGAACAGAAACATCCAAAGCTTTGACTTTATTATTATGTTTTGCTGCAAATGTGTTTTGTAGCCAGTTGTTGACATGGATACACCAACTAGTGTTTGTCTTTCCCAGCTGATCAAATTTTCCCAAAGTTTTGTATGCTACTCCCACACTGTAGGATTTGCAATCTTTCTGCGCCTTGACTTCCCAATAATGCTGTCCACTTTCAATAGCAGTGTCCCCTATAGAAGATTAGAAAAAAGACTTACTTTGTCCTATGAATCATATAAATTTTTACTTATCATTTATTCTACAAATAGCACACAAACTTTAATTCATCTATATTTTACAAGTCAATTATTTATTTCATTTTAATTTACTTATTTAGACAAAAGACTAATTTCTGTCTCTGTATATAACCCAAGCTGACTTCAAAGCTGAGCTTCCTTTTTTAGCTTCTCAAGTGCTTAGATTACAGGTCTGTGCCATCATGTTTGGCTAATTCAACTATTCCTTCTATGAAAATCATCATGTTAAAACAGACACTAAACACAAAGAATTTACTGTAATCTTACTTTTGTATTTATTTTTTCTGAATAGAAAATGCTTCAGAACTTATTTTTCTACTATTCCATCAAGATATATATATATATATATATATATATATATATATATATATATGTAAGGCATCAGTAAAATAGTTTTAAAAAGTATGAATAAATCAATCATAAAAACTTCATAATTATTAGGTTTCAATCTGGAGAAAGTTCTGCAAGGATTCGTTCAAGATAGGCAGCCACTCTAGTTCCAAATTACTAAAAACCCCACCAGTGTGACTGTGATGCTTTTAATCTAGGCCATGAACAACATTGTGTTTTATCCTACCTAAAACTGTATATGATTCCCCAGTAAAACGATCTCTGCTGCCTCTTACTGATGGTGGCCTGGAGCCTATGGATGCTCGTTTGGGAGATGGTGTACCACTTCTATATAAAAAATGAAAAAGAAAAACAAATTATTTTTTTGTTGGGAATGTTCATAAAACAAAATTACAAATAGAGAACAAATCCATGGAAAGATTTCTAATTATGTTGCAAAAACAGCATCACTTGATCTTAGCTATTATTAGAGAGGTGTCAATTGTAAACACTCAAATGTAGAAGGCTACCATTGCAAAGCAGGCTGAAAACATGTCATGCAGATCAAGCAAGTTTATACAAAGAGCACAGAGTTAAAATAAGGAGCAATAGCAAAATGAGACAGACTTGCTGAAGGAGAAAAAAAATCAAGGAAGACTTGGGGTTACATTTTAGAATTAAATTTACATAAAAGCCAAGGCAAACTAGATTTCTCATAATCAAAACTAAGCAACTTTATTCTTGCCCTGGACCATTCCTCTTGAAAAGAGAAACAGCAATTATTCATATCCAAACACAAGATTCTATCAAGTATTATAAAGCACTTGCACTATTTAAATGGTAAAGGGTAACTGTAACCCCTTTGTACATCACTTCAACAATAAAAAATTTAAAAAATGGTAAAGGGGATAATATTAAGCTTTTCAATACAAGAAAATTGAAGATATTTAAAAAATAACAAATTATACTGAATTAGAGCATTAAAAATTAAGAATATTTGTTAAGATTATCCTATAGTTAAGATTATCCTTAAGAGAAATGATAATGCTTATGTATTTTCTCATCACTAATTAGAAATAAAATCCTTCTCAAATATAGTTGCACTAGACTTGTTCTTCCTAAGAAAAGGTCAGCTTAATAGCTAGTAATAAGCTACCAACTAGTATTAGAAAAATTCCTGATAAAGACTGTCATGCAGATTTATTAGACAGTTTCAAAATACAAACTCAAGGACTGCTTAGGCTCCACTTTCTAGTGTGATATCAAGCCATTCTATATAAGTCCACAGCTACAGTATTTACATGATATAGTTATCTTTTTCCAAAGGATGCCAAAGGTCCTTTTTGGAAAAAAATGCTTTAAAATGACACTTAGGTAGCTAAGGATTCCACTTAAACAGAAAGTATAAGCAAAGGTAAGTAAGGATAGGAAGATCAAAATTTCTGTGAAATTTGTGTTCAGACAGGAAAGAGCAGAAAAAAATGTGATGACGGAAAAACCTAGAAGTGTTTTATGAGACGTTCTCCAAAATAGGTGATAAAAATAGGTAAAAATGAAGAAAAATGTATATTCATGATTTTGAATCTTTTTAAAAGTTATTTTAAGATTTGGTTTAAAAGGTTTTCTAAGCAATACAATATACAACATTTTATGGGTCATCAAGTAGTAAGAAAATAAAATTCTACAGCCAAGTTAATGACAAGTATAAAAGAAGAAAAAGCAAAACAAAATTCTACATTACATTACAATTTTAAACTCTTTTGCTTTTTTTTTGTCTGTCATGGGTGCTGTCTGGGCCTGGGTGCTGTCCCTCAGCTCTTCAGCTCAAGGCTAGTGCTCTACCACTTGAGCCACAGTGCCACTTCTGATTTTCTGGTGGTTTATTGAAGATAAGAGTTTCACGGACTTTCCTGCATGGGCTGGCTTTGAATTGCAATCCTCAGATCTAAGCCTCCTGAGTAGCTAGGATTACAGGCCTCAGCCACCAGTGCACAGCTTAAACTCTTTTTATAAAAGCTGATGAAGAATATTAATAACCTGATCAAAAGTGGTCTGTATATTTTATCTTGAACTAAGAGTCTGTCTCTCAAACTAAGAACAAAAAATAAACTAGGTCTCAGGGGCTCACACCTATAATCCTAGCTACTCAGGAGGCTAAGATCTAAGGATCATGGTTCAAAGCTAGTCCTGGCAGGAAATCAATGAAAGTCTTATTTCCACTTAACCACCAAAAAGCTGGAAGTGGCAGTGTGGTGCTCAAGTGGAAGAGCACCAGCCTTAGCAAATAAAGCTAAGAGACAACACTCAGGCCCTAAGTTCAAGCATTTTCCCACCCCAAAAAAAACTATAGTTCTGTTTTCACTGTCCTGGTGGTTTGAGGACAGATATGGCATTTGAAACTGGTGTTTTCAAATCATGTCCTAAACTCAAGAGAAATCTACAGAGGTCACAGAGGCTTCTGTGGGACTGTGGAAAGAAGCCAGCTCTGAGTCCTTTCTTTCACTTTTTAGATTAGGCTTCTGAAAATATTTCATTTGAAGTAATCATTCTATTTCTTAAATGTGAATCAGATGCTGGTGGCTCACACCTGTAATCTTAGCTACTCAAGAAGCTAAGATATGAGGATTGTGGTTAGAAACCAGTCCAAGCAGAAAACTCTATGAGATTCTTATCTGCAATTAACCACCACAAGTAGAGCTGTGGCTCAAGTGGAAGAGCATTAGCCTTGAGTACAAAAGCTCAGGAATAGCACCTAGGCCCTGAGTTCAAGTCCCAGGACTGGCACCAAAAGAAGTGTGAAGAGTATATTTGATGCAATTTTGGGAAGATATGAAAAGGAATGCTGAATCATATTCTTCCTAAATTGGAGAAACACAATGCTTTAAGATTTTATAATAAATATAAATACACTGTTCTCTTCCCCTGTTGGCAGGCACATTTGTGAGTTAGGAAGAAACATACAGTTTGAAAAATATATCCTAGGTAATTTAGAATAAAAAGCAAAAGAAAATCATACAATATAAATAAAGACGTTTCATTGGCATCTTTTCAAAATATGCTAAGAGCTCATCTGATAGTCACAAAATCAATTTTTAAAGAAAAAAAGTGTAACTTACCAATAGTAAAGAAATAAGGGGAAGCATGAAGAAAAGAAAAACAGATATAACTATTGAGAATGGCAATTTAATTTCAGAGAAAAGGAGCACTTCCATTGTAGCTTCCATACTTCCAACTTTAAGTACATTTTGCAAGAACAACTATTATCATATGTAAAACATGATCACCTTCCACCTGTTTCTCTTAAAAGATACTTTATCCATTTAATTGCCTTAATTAAGGCTTTACTACCTCAAATTCTCTCTCCTCTTGCTCTTTCTCCCTCTCTCCTTCTCCCCATCTGTCTGTCTGTGGTTAATTGGAAATAACAGACTTTCCTCCCTAGTCTGGCTTCAAAAGCTATCCTCAGATCTCAGCCTCCTAAGTAGCTAGGATTACAGGGGTGAGTCACCAGCACCTAGCTTAATTTCTTTAATACCCACTTCTCACCTTGTTCACCAGTACAGAGTAAACCTAAGACTGATTCCTGCTTGGCATCTGAGGTTATTGATTTGAGTCCTAATCGGCCTTCCAAGCCCTAGCAAGCACTGTACAATTAAATGTACCAGTGTTCTTCATACTTACAGAATCTGCTTCAGTATCTTTCTTCTTGCACCCATTAATGTAAGTCCAAATACAACACATCCTCCCACCTCAAGAATAAAGGCCTGCTGGGTGCTGCTGGCTCATGTCTATAATCTTACCTACTTGGAGGGCTGAGAACTGAAGAACCACAGTTCCTTGCACCACAAAGTTCCTAAGACCCCCCTTTTGCCAAGTCTAACAGGCTTGTCATCTGAAAGCTTGTTATCCAAAAATGATTGGGAGGATGATGGAGCAAGGCCAGTGGTGGGAAGAAAAGGACTCTGTATCCATGAAGGAATGCTGGACCTAGTGGTATATGCAGTGATCCCAGAAATGTCCACATACCTAAAGTAGGCATGGCTCAGGTGTGTAGGAAGTGAGCTCTATCCTAAAAATAATGACTGAAAAACAGGGCTGAAAGCATGACTGAACAGGAGTGAGCCTGCCTAGTTAGTGCTAGGCCTGAGTTCAAACCCCAGTAACAAATTTGCCTTCCAGCTTGGTGCTGGTAGCTAATGCCTATAATCCTAGCTACTAAAGAGGCTGAGATTTGAGGAATGTGGTTCAAAGCCAGCCTGGAAAGGAAAGTCAGTGAGACTCTTATCTCCACTTAACTACCAAAAAAGGTCCTGAGTTCAAATACCAGGACCAATACACACAAAAAAAAGCCTTCCACATCTTGCCACACACTACATAACTCATCTGAGGGGTCTCCTTTCAGGCCAAAATCTTTTGTGTGATCTTTTACAAACCATCAGAGACAATTAAAAAGGCTTTACCTAACAGGCCTTGGGAGAGGTTAGGGAAGTTTTCCTTAATGGTTTTCAGTTGGGTGAGAACTGCCTTGCTTATAACAGACTTGAACACCCCTAGTACCCTAGAGTTTTAAAGAGAGCTGCAGTTCTATCCCTCTCACCAACTCAGGCATATCTTCATTCCTGTCCTAATCATCTTAAATCAGAGGTCCCTTTTGGGAGGGATGCCCTATGCTGAAATGCTTTTCAGTTGTCTTCATGGAGACCTCCTTATGGAGCAGGGGGTATTAGAAATACTTTTCTCCAATTTTTCTTAGTACTTTTCCACTTCCTAGTCCTTGGAGCTTTTTGGTAATGAGAAAAATCCTCTGTGATCTGTGCTGTATGCTATTTGGCTGAGAAAAAAGAACAACGGTGGGAGTGAGCAAACTCTTTCCTTTGTGGCTATCTAATCACAGTAAATTAGTAAAGGCTTAGCTGTTAATATCAATTTGAAGCACTGTTCTAACCACCCCAACACCAAACAGCTCTGAATATCTCTCTTCCCTTGAGCTCACTGACATAACTATAGATAATGTCCATCAAGAATTATTGTTAATTGTATATATCTCATCTACACGAATTACAGCAAATTTCTTGAAGGCAAAGACAGTATTTATCCCTACAAAATCTATAACATCTACATCCTCTACAGTGAATAAATATTTATGCAAAGGATGAACTTAAGACTAAGCATACAGGTTGAGCACCTCTAACCCAGAAATCTGAGTAACACTGAAAACTCTGACAACTGACACAATGCTTCAGGTACAAAATTCCACACTGGATTTCATGTGATGAGTCATACTCAAAACATACAATAACCAAAAACACTATATAAAATTGTCTTCAGGATATACTCAAATTGCTTATGAAAAAAAAGGATTTTGTGTTTAGATTTGGGTCCCAAATCTCAGGATATTTCATTATATATTTGCAAGTATTCTAAAACCTGAAGAAATAACTGAGGCACTTCAGGTCCCACACATTTCAGATAAGTGATATTTAACCTGTACAACATCTAGAAGTGGTCTACTTTTAAAACACCTTTAACAAGAAGAAAAAGAGAAAGCAAGAATATAGCCTGAAATGCTAAATAAATCAGTCTAAATTTTCCCAGATTAAAAACTCAATAGACTATTAAATCTATTATAATCTATAACACACTATGAAATCACTTTTATCTATAGTAAATAAACTGAAGAGGCAACACATTCTAGTTTCTAGAAAAGATGTTGTATTTCAATATGTGCACTGGTGCTTGTGCAATCTGAAATGATTCACCTTTCTGGCACTCTCCTAATATTCCAGCAATGGCTTTAATTTTTTAATTTTGATGTTTCTGAAGTTGCATAATTTTTATATAGAACACTAAACCCGCCTCATGTCAAAATACATACAAAAGCTATGATATATATAAAAACCACAATGTTAGATATATACTGAATATATTACCACAAGAAAAATGCCAGGTATAAGTAAAAGCACGAAAAAAAAATCAGATGAGGGAAAATAATTCAAAAAAGATTTTAAAAGCAGAGCTAGTTTTGTTATCATACACAGTACAAATAATAGGTAGCACACTACGATGCTGTAAATTCATAACATGAACTACTAAAACAGACAGTCTACACAAAGCAATATTTAGCTTATGAAGGCTGCTGCAATGGCTTCTGCTTGTTGGTTAAAAAGAAAAATTGAACATTATTCAGCCAAGCTAGCTATACTAAGTCCTAGAACCAGACAGACATAGATCATCACCTTGTATGTTTCTTCAGTGAAGTGACATGAACACTGTTAGATAAAAATAGGCAACTGTTAAGAGGCTGCTTAACAACTTAACGTTATAATAAAATGAGATAAAAAACCTGCTGAGGGTTTTTAAAATTCATTGTTGTAATTAATGTCAGTTTGAACAAAAATTTACTCTGTGCAAAAAGACTCCAAAACTTGACAATTCTGAGTTTTGTTACAAATAAAAAAAGGCCCTTCAGCCCATCTCTTGAATTTATTAAGTTGCTCACTGCGGCAAAACTCTGGGTAAAATGCTGAAAGTTGTCATTTAGTGCAGACCTCTTCAGGTATGAGAAGTGATCTCTAAGTGTATATACCTTTACAGACATAAAATGGTGAAATGAAAGTTTGTAAGATTAGAAAAGAAACTAAGAAAAAAAGCAATGAAAATGTTAATGATAAGTCAAGTGTCAAATCAATTATTATACCCTCCACTTTGAAATCTACTAAAATATCACAAATCATATTGGTATGAAGAATATAAATTTAAATGTTAATGTCAAATGAAAAACAATGTACACACATTTATCCATATGTAAATTAAGAGTTGCAGTGCTATTGTTACAGAAAAACTACTGTAAAAGAACTGTTCATATAATAAACTTAATGAACTAGCTTACCTGCCCTTGTTTTCCTTTCCTTTAATTTTACTTTCTTGACCTTTGCCTCCTGTAGGATCCCACTCTACACATGTATCTTCAACTTTCAGGTTCAAATGGGATGATGAGTTATCCAAACTGAAGTTAAGTGCTGTCCAAAACAATATTTTTAATATCCACTTTCTGGTGCACATCTATCATATTATTCTCCTACTTAGTTGACTCAAAACTATATACAGAGAATAAAGTTTAAATTCCTAATCATAACATCTCAAGGTCTGATGCAGGTTACAGGTGGTTTACAATGTAAAGAAAAGAAACAAAACTATTCATATTATTTGGAATTTGGAGAAAATATCTGCAATACTCACCATTTCTTAAACCAACTAATTTATGAAATCAATGTAACAAACTATTCATTAGCTTCCCTTTAGGGAAACTAAAAGCAAATTATTAAAATTCACAGCTTTTTTCCTATTTTGAAATGTAATTCCAAGAATATTTTAAATATATCATCTATTATAAGGTTTCCTTGGTTGGGAGCTGCTAGCTAACAACTTTAATCCTAGCTACTCAGGAGGAGGCTGAGACCTGAGGATTTTGAAACCAGCCTAGGAAGGAAGTTCATGAGCCTCTTATCTCCAATTAACCACGAAAAAGAAAAGAAAAAATGTAAATGGAGGTGTGGTTCAAGCTCTTACTTGGCTTTTCAGGACTAGAATTTATCCCAGACCCTGAATTTACCCCAGAATTGTCATGTGCATGCACAGCAGTGCATGCGCGCACGTGCGCACGTGTGCTCACACGCTCACACACACACACACACACACACACACAGAGTTGGTTGAAACACAAAGTTTTAATCATATATGAGTTACGAATTAATTTAATCATGTTAATTATAAAAGTTCATCTTTAGTAGTTATACATCAAAAGAATATTCCTTTACAATACCCTGCTTCACTTAAGGATATTAGCTGGATTAGCAAAGGCTGTAGTGCATCTGTGAAGAATGCATCATCAAACCACAAAACAAACATGCAGAGAGCCTAATGTTCATTGGTGACTCAAGAATCCTTTAATCTATTGCTAGTTCTGTAAAGAGCACTTCAATTTCAACAATCTATCGGAGCTATTGTTCATTGTCTTTATTTATAATACAACATTTTGGATTCAAATGTACTGATTTCACAGTTTCTACTAAATGTCATACAAAGAAGTTAACTTTCAAAATCTGCCTCTAAACAGAACTAAACTTTGAGAAAGAAATAATGAAGGTTTTCAGTAAAAATGTAAATAAAATTCCTTAATAGGCTACGAAAAAGTTAGGATAAACACTGATATCTTGCATTTCCAAAATAAATTGCTTTAAGCAAATAGAAAACCTCTATATTTCAATTATTGATTAATGCATGTGATGTTCTCTAGCATAAAGGCCTTTCTAAAATTTCTTCTGTGTTCAATTAAGTTATTTTAGAGTTCTCACTAACTGCAAATTGTTCTCAGAGTCTAGAACTGAGATTTCAAGGCTATAATAAAAGCTGACAAAGAACACAAAAACAGATTCATACTTCCGAACAATCTAGAGATTGGTCAATGTAACATGCTTAACTACTTTCTTCATCTGTAGTATGGATAGGAATATCTAGTCTACTTATCACTAAAAATGATTCTAGTGATTAAGTAAAGACCTTCATATAAACAGTAATAAAATAAAGTAAGGAGCTAGTGGCTTAGAAGGCTAAGATCTGAAGCCAGCCTGGGTAGAAAAGTGTGTAAGACTTCATCTCCAAAACAACCAGAAAAAACTTGGGCTGGAGGCATATCTCAAGTGAGCAAAATTAGCCAAGTAAGCACAAGATCCCTGAGTTTAAGTTCCAAAACACAAATGAAAGTATAAAGTCTATCAATGGTAAGTAATAACAAGATGATTCAGGGAATCTGAGGACTAGACTATATTAAATAGGTACTTCTTCATTATTGATTCATAAGGTATTCTCTGAATAAACTGAGCAAATCTCAGCAATGCTTATATATTTTACACAAGCTTAAAATTTGTAAACTAAGCATTCAGGAGAAAATAAAACACTACTATCTCAAGCTATTTTACCCATATAATGCAATCATAAAGGAAAATCTAATGAAAACCACTACTTTAGTCCTATTTTCCTAGCCTTATAATTTCTACTGTTGGGAAAAGTCAGAGCTGGGGTAGTAAAGTAGGAAAGGAATTAAGCCACACACGAAATGCTTCTTGTCACAAAACCTAGAATGATTTCAGATGTCAGATTTCCTTTTATGATACGCAAACAACTACTGCTCTTACCTTTGGTCTCTAGGGTCACTGGGTCAGAATAGTCTCCAGCTACAGCCTTGTTACAAGCTCGTACTCTGAAATTCATGTACTTTGAATCAAATTTTAAGCCTAAAATAATGAAATTGTTTTCAGACATGGAAAGTAAAAGTCTCTATCTATGACTATGAATATTCAAACGATTTTCCTCAGTTAAAGTAGCTCTTTTTTTGGCTATTCTTTTTTTTTTTT